GCTAATGATGGGACCGTGATACTGAGGTACTGAAGTGAGCGGAATCAAGATTAGGTCTTTCCGAAGTACTACGCAAAGAAGTGGTTAGTAATTATCGAGGCTTAACGTTTATAACAAGCAAAGTGCGTACCAAGATGGTGAAGACAAGAATGAGAATAACGGCTTAATCCTAGAGTGTTCTGGAGACTGAGAAAAGCTGGCCAGAAACTAGCGGAAGGTTGACCATAAAATGTTAGTAATGAAGCGGAAAAGTAGGCTGAGTTGAACTCGCAAACTCGCAGTCCTACCCCGGGAACAGAGAGTGCCTTTACAATAATTACAAAGGAGAGCTCATGCCAAGTGTTTACGTGGGCAAAGCGTACGTTAGGGACAGGGCATTCAACACCTAATGAAGAGCCTTAAAAGCCTTCACTTTAGGAAAGTACCAAAAAGGTTTTTTACACTCATACTATGGGGAGTATGCTTTCCATGAAATTCTTCCTCAGCAACTCGACTACAGTTCCGCATTTCCGGGTATTTAAGAATTAAGCTGAATTAAGCACAAAAAATGGGACACTTCAGAAAACCTTCTGAAGACCAATGTTCAACTGATGTAGATTTGTAATAAAAGAGGCCCGATTTCTGCAAAAAATCGACGAATCGGTTTAGGATCACTGGGGTCAGTGACGATGATGGAAAAACTAGACTCCACTTTGTGAATTTGATCGAAATCGTCGGTTTTTCTGCAGCGTACCGGAGGCAATTATTGGTTCTAGCACTGATTCAGAATAGTCATGGAAGTTGGGAGTTAACGGACTAGTTTTACGGGCTGATCATAAAAATTATTATTTGGACCCAATAGACGCTCTGGGGAACGATAGTTAAGGTTTTGCTGAAGAAAGTTATCCAACGAACAGTAGATATGGCTGACCGGGTCAAAAAGGTTGCAAGCTCTTAATACACTTGCCCGGATAACAGATGACAAGACTGATGAATGGACTGTAGATAGGACGCCGCTTTCCTGTTGAGCAGTTGTATACGAAATTCAATCGATGAGCATTTGCACGATGTTGACTTTTGAGATAGGGGAAGTGCGTTGGGAATGACGAACAGACAGGAATCGCAGCCCAATTACTGGAATTACTGGATTACGATCATTTTCGCAATAATTGAGTGTGGAAACTGGGAATTGAGAGGATCGCCTGCGATTCCAATGCTTGTATGACGGAGACTTTCTCATCACTGCAGGCTCATGTTACACGTTGCGATGAATGCAACTAAGCAGTCCACGAGCAGAAAGACGAGTAATGCTTCTGTTACACCCACCGACATAAAGCCAGCACATCAGTTGATTTAAGTATCGGGTCGAGTAGTCAGCGCATGAATCCGACGAGACTCCAGAAGAAGGGCAGGCGGAGCGGCCATTTTACAGACGTCCACTGATTTTCGTAGAGACTCAGAAGGTAGCCGAATCCTAGCAATTGCAAAGACGAACCGATCGAGAAGCATCAAGATCTCCAATTGGCGGAATCTTGTCCAGAACATCAAATAATAGTCGAACCGGATCGCGTAGCTGAATGCCTGTCAAAATGGAAGCAAGACTCGAGCAGCTCTACCACACCCAGGATGACAAGGAATATTGCACTCGTACGTTGAGAAGCTGATCATGAAGCGTGACCTTGCTGCTTGTCAAGATGTTCGCCGATCAGATTTAATGGAGTTTATACATAAGGCGAGGTAGATCCTCGATACTTTGACCGAAGAAGTTCGATCGAGATGTAAAAAAAAGCTGCCACGAAGATTCTCTACCCGAGCTTCCTGACGCATGACATCATTGAGACACGGAGCTATGACTTGCAGCACTGAGTTGTCCATAGACTGACCATTTAATGATGAACCTTCTCCAGTAACGTATTTCTCAGCATAATACAGTACGCCGAGAATCGAAAATCAGATCGGCCGGGCACGTCATGCGATATAGGGCTGACCGTTGGACCAGGGCGGTTACAGACTGGATCCCTCTGGACTCAAACAAACACCGGGGCGACCGCCGACCCGATGGTCAGCCTTCTTCATGAAAGCCCTGAACGAGAGGAATCATTTGCCCCGTGTTCCTCGAGCGAGTACGATCGCCCGCGGAACACGGGGAAATCGACGATCGACGTGAGTACAGGTGATACATTCTCACCCTTTCAGTAGTAAGGAGCGACGACGGAGAACGCAGTGATGCGTTGCGAATTCCACTTGTCCTTCAAAGACACCTATGACCCATAACATTTCATCTCTGATCGATAGAGGCGAGTTCAAAAGAGTAGGAAATTAGATAAACAAGTTTTGTTAACTTCGAAAAAACTGTCGCCGCACATAATAGCGACCCAATCTAGGTAGCGGTATCATTTGCCATAACGCATTTTAAAGTTGAGGTATAGTGCCGAAGTAGGCGATCACCAGTTGCTTTGTAGACTTGAATAGTTACAGTTCATCGAAAACAGCTGGGTAAAAAACTTCGAAGGACCTGTTCAGGCTGTAACCGAAGAAGTGAACGAGGATAAAGGGGCATGCGAACATTTCATGGACTATCCCTATCCTCTACTTCGGTGTAGAATGGTGAATGTCGTACATTTGATGAAAAATTGAATGGCAAAAAGGTAAAAAAGCACTAATTCTTCCACCAACCCGACCAAGAACGTAATCAATCGATACGTGCCAACCCCTTTGAAACGCATTGATCGCAACTTTGCACTTCAGCCATATCTACTGTTCTCTTGATAATCTTCTTTAGTAACCAACCTAGCAAAACGGAAATGAAATCAAGCAATCCTCTACGGTCAAGCTAGTGATTACGAGATAATCAAAGAGTACAAAAGAAATTTTCCAAAGTTATGTCAAAAATCGCAAAAATACTCACTGCTCTGCAAAGGTGTAGTTTAGGCGAGGAATCCGAATGCTGAATTGCCACGAATACTTTGCCGAAGCGTTCAGAGACGTGTCCTTCAGAGAAAGGTCCGGCCAGAGTGTCCTTGAAATTCCTAGGCTCTACAAAGCACATTCCATGAGACGGCTTCCGTACATTTTCTCAGCACTCTTTTGAGCAATTCGAACTGCAGCAGTTTTACGGTGTTTTTCACGTAGAAGCTCTATGAATCCGGTGCCCGTGTCCTCTGGAAAGGCGCTTACATCCCGCAAGAGCACTGCACCTGACAAGAGTGCCACCTCCAACGAAACTGATCCGAACATCGTTTGCAGAATATGCCAGAAACCGCTCTTTCGAAACCAAGGAGCTACGTCGAACGTGCCATCAGGTTCTCCGAATATGTGAGCCGATTTGACACGCGAATGTCTGGAGTCTCGTTGCCGTCCACTACCCATTGAAGCGCGTATTCTCTCCTTCCCCACGGCAGTAACTTCCAACTTCGCAGGATATACTGCAGCTGGTCGCAGAGACAAAAAGGAGAAATCGATCAGAGCCTACAGTCAGCCTGACGGCTACTCCTACACACTGAAACGTAACCACCTCAAACGATCACTTATCAATAATCAGACAGGACTACAGTTTTCCTAAATTTAACGACACTTCGTATAGTGGTAGGACAAAAGTTGAAGGCAAACGTTCCAATCTCGTCCTTCGCCTTGCAATTCAACAGAAAGACACTGTGTACCCTAAATTCCATAAATGAGAGCGGGTACCCCTGGGATGGACTGCTGGAGACACTTACGTCATTTTATTGTGAGTGGGTTGAAATAGTGAAATCCTCAAAGAAACCTTCCAACGAAAGGAGCTCGGGACCACTACAAAAGACCCAATTTACCGCCCTGGAACAACCTTTCACAACCCCCTCCCCCCTCCTCCCTGACTCCGGAGCCTATGACCTGGTTTCCGACTTCAAACCATACGATTCTAACTTCCTTGTTACCAACCTAATCCCATCTCTAACTAAAAACCCTGGTCCCCGGCTTAGAAAATACAGCCCCGTTCTAAGGACCTAAAGACACTGGTCTAACGAGATCGGGCCTTCTAACCCCGTTACCCGGCTAAAACCCTAGTCGACATCACAGGCCTTATGACGGTCTCCCGAACAACCTTTTGTGGGAGGATATAGGCGAAAATGATGATTTAGAGGATGAAAATTTTAACTGCTCTCATTTATAGAATTTTAGGGTGAATGAAATTACTGCTGAGGTAGCAAATGGTCACCGATCAATGAGTGGTAAGTCCAAAAGTACAAGCACTCTACCAATCGCTCCACGTAAAGGGATGCTCCTCATTCGAAGTCCTGCAAGGAACAACCAGCCTAGGCAGCCACCCAGTGAAACCAACTGCTACGAACATTGCCCACCAATGTACAGCCTTAGTTACATTAGGAAAGAATGCGAAGCAAGGGGTAGACCCGACGTCCCAGGCCCCGCCCCCTCTGTGGACCTCGATAAGTCGAGTCCATCGGCAGGAAACCGCGCAGGGATTCATTGCGGAAGGGATGAACTCTTTAGAAGGCATAAGCCTTCTATATGGGAAAACTTAGGGTGGGCAGTACAGGGTGAATGATAGTGTAGGCACCTAGGGGCCCTATAAGACCCTACCCTAGCCCCAACAGTAGTTAACTAGGAATTATGCCTAAGCTCAAACCCCTTAGAGTTAGTGAACTAGTGAACTAGTGCTAAACAGTAACTATCCCCCCGAAAACAACAAAGCAACTATAAAACAATAGAAAGTCATCTACTGAGTAAACACAAACAAAAAAAAGTAAAAACTTAATAAAACAAAAGAAAATACTAAACTCAATAAACCTAGGTGCCTACACCTTAAATCAATCACACCTGTAAAACTTAAATATCACACAGACGGCTTCTTCTGACGGCTCCCTGCAGCTCCCGTCACTGTCGACACGCACCATCTGCAAAAAGGACAATTCAAAAGGAAAGTAAAGCCACCGTAAGAAGTTCAATTAACAAACCTTGACCATAAGCCGCGTGCTTTAGGGACCGCAAATTCGCCGCTTCATCCACCAGGAAAGCATTTCTCTTCAATTCCATCTTTCTGGAAGGTGACGACTCTCGACGATGTCTGGGCGACGTCCGACGAACAGCTTGGTAGCCAGAGCTATCTAAATTGTCAAATTCACGAAAAAGATGCGATAGAAGGTAGGATAGGACTGACATCATACCCCTGATCCCTGATCGGATCGCCTGTTAGAAGGATAGGTGGCTACCTGCTTCCCGGTTGGACTTTTTCGACGGGGACCTAAACATAAGGCTTTACGAATAAAAAAAGAATAATACGAGTGACGTGAAGTAGGATCTTGCAGAGAACAAAAACGTTATGCAACTTTTGTTAGGATTCAGTCCCATGCGAATTCCCAAACAAGTTACCCCCTTCCTAGGCATGTTATACCAAAAAGTTTAGCATTCTTACCGAGACAATTACGCGGCGAACCAGTCTCGGTCCTCGTTGATTTCAAGGTGGTCCTCCATAAATTCCTTCGCTAGACGAGAAGCTGCTGCGACTCACAGGCACACGAGCATATCGAAAAGCTGCTTAGCCAAAATGGGCCTGTCTGGATGAGGACAGTATCGACCTGAATGAGTACAATGAAAAGGTGGATATTCAAGAAAACGTTGGTGATGGCATACTTCTGATCCCCGTTCGGATCGCCTCACGACAGAGCCGTCGAACGAAGTCGATCTGTCCTCATGATCCAACGCCTGTATAAGCGCCTGCAGAAGAAACGGCTCGATGAATGGGTTATACAGCTACAGAGCCGCATCAAAGAAGCTTCTAGACGAAGAGTGTGTCGGTCTCGATGGAGGCGGCATCAACCTGAACGAGTACAATGAGGAAGTGGACCATAAAAACGTGGTGATGACATACTTCTGATCCCTGTTCGGATCGCCTCACGACAGAACTGTCGAACGAAGTCGATCCGTCCCCGCGGCCCTACATCATCTAATTGCCTGCAGACGAGGAGGCAAACGATGGGGTTACACAGCTTCGCGACCGCGTTGCAGTGGTCTAACAGAAGAATGGGCTGGCTTCAATGGAGACGGCGTCAACCTGAATTGATTACAGAAAAGGGACCTTCAACAGGCTGTTCAGTGTGGACATACTTCTGATCCACGCTTGGATCGCCTCACGACAGAATCGTCGAACGAAGTTGGTCCGCGTTGGGAGAAGTTCTTCAGTTCTGCATGTTGTCTGTTCACTAGCAGTTTGACATTTCAGTATCCAGTCTACAGATTCCTGGTCAGAGTGTGAATCGAAATTCGCTAAAAAGGGGATAATCAGAGTGGAGCTGCGATTGAATTCTCTCATCGCAGTGGAATCCTCACATCAACGAAGATCCTGTCTACATTCTAATATTGCACAGCTGACGAGACTGCGGCTTCTCAGACGGCTATCTTCTTTGCTCAACGATCGCTCTACTACGACTTCATTCTTCGAGACACTTGGAGTGGAAGGAGAGGAATCGAGAAACCATCTCTGTAAACAGTGCAGAAAGAACAGCACCTGAAAAGGTGGGTTCGAAGAGCACACATCAAATTATAGCCGTGCAAGATCTAGCACACTTCCCGTTGCTGAGTTGCCGTCTAAATGTGCGAAGAATTTCGTAGAATCCTGGGAATCTTGTCTTGTCAGTGTGTCAAGTAATGTGGGAAGCCTATAGAATACCTCGAGCAGTTTACAGCATCATGTTATTTACATGCCTCAGTGCTGCTTCTCGGAATGCCATGACAGCTTTTATTGGCTTCGGAGACGAGTCGATCACTGGACACTTCACTTTGTAATGATTGGAATGAGGAGTAGCACAAGGCCTCTTCTTCAACTCCATACAGTATCCACCAGATTGAAGTCAGCAACCAATTCTTAGCAGCCATAAGGTCGGTGGATTGTTTAGACAAGAGTGGAGAACAATTTTGACAATCAGGTGTTGTGTGACGTTTTGCTAATATGTCTAAGAAATGCTCCTGAAGCGAGGAAGTCCCAGAGGTAGCGCCTCACCTCAATAGGTGGTCTTCAAGTGGAACCCCTTGTCGATTTCCGCTCCTGTCTCGGAGAACAACAGCGTAGTCCTGCTGATGCCACACATCGTACCGCGATTGCGTCCGATATTTCTTCAAGTATGTTCGCATACTCCTGTCCAAAAGATTGGCCAAATTTTGAACACGGCTTTAAACCAGTCCCAGCTGTTTTTTGACAACGGTCCCGTCTGATACCTTCCAGACGCCTGCCAGGCTAGCTGACGCAACTGCTGTCTGATGCGTTTTCGAGAGACGTCCCGGCTTGAATCGTTATCACGGTTGATTGTTTTGCTGATCTTGGATGGTCTTCGACCTTCCGGACGTTTTAGACTTATTGACGATCTGTCCGACCGCTACGAAAACTGAAAGTATCCATATTTTCACCGCACCCTGTGCCAGTGAACTGTGTTAAGGCACAATTGTGGGGAGAGAGCGATAGCCTGCCAAGCTTATACGGCAGTTTTAATGTGTGCTCTTCGAACCCTCTTAGTTGATAGTGTAAAAATTTTTT